CATAAAAAAACTTGCTCCTGAACACTACGCAGTAAGGGCTTGGAAAAAAAGCTTTTCAGAACATCCTGATTGGAGTGATTGTTTCGTGAATATACATAAGTCCTCGAAAGATAATAAGCTTAGACAATTCTCTCTTGAGGTTACGCACAGAATAATTACGACCAAGAAAGAACTACTGAAATATAAATTAGCCTTCTGATGACACGGGACCTTTCTGCCTCAATCCCGATTCAATTGAACATACCTTCATATATTGTCAAGAGTCAAATGAATTCTTTTCCAGAACTTTAGGGTGGTTTAATAAATACCTTACGGAGAACGTACAACTTTCAAAGAAACAAATTTTATTTAACACATTCGAAGACTCCCTTCCATTGCAGATGTAAAAGTCAACTCTAAGCAGATTTCGTGTATTGGCATTATTGCAAAAGAAATACTTGTATAATTGCAAAAACATCGCAAAGAAACCTATTTCGATGATTTTTACTTAATACGCTTTTTCAAAAATAAAACATTCAAAATCGTGGCAAACAATATTTGTAACTGACAGGCTTTTGTCCTCTAAAACCTTTTTTTCATTTGTTTAGTTACTTTTTTGTGTGTAGAGGCTGTAATTAGTTTTGTTACTTATTAATTTCTTATTATGTGCTGTATATTAATGTTGTTATTGTGTCGAGAATAATAATAAAAAAAACAAAACAAAAAAAAATTCCCATGGAAAGTCAACCTCGCTAAATAAATGGGGACACATCATTGTCAACTATCTTCTGTAACAAACCTTTCCTTTCAGAAGGTAAAAAAAAAAGCCTTTAGTTGACATCGCGACGATGTTCCCCACGCCGGAGAGGATGATTTGTACACGTCCATTTCACTTTTTTTGCAATCAAACGAGTAATGCGCGCAGAGAACGGTTTTGTTTTAAGTAGTGTATAGCTGAACTATTTTAGAGTGTTTCCGCGGATTTTTCCGCGGAATGACGGCTTTGAGAAGATTAGAGATGTTTAATTTGACGATGCTAATGTCCTCTTTTATTTCTTTAGCATTTTGCTCTAAAAAAGGTGTTTTTGACTTGATACCAACACCTCGTTAATACGTTCACTTTCTTCGTACGTGACTTGATTAACGTATTTGGAATTCCGATTGTTTACCCGGGTGTTTACCCCCCTGAAACGGCTGGCTCTGTGATAAATCTCATGGTTGTTCTACCCTTAACTTTTCCCTCCGAGCCACGCTTTCATCCAGAGCAACATTTTTCAAGTTCTTCAGAGAGTAACTGGTGAAAAAAACACGAAGCTCTAACGTTAAAACCATGTAATTTAACAAACCTGACAGATTTTGAGTTTAGTGTACAACAATAGAGAAGAAAAGAGCGTCGTCACAAAAATTCAAATTTCAGACATCACGGGATTGGATGGCATATTCAGAAAGAACAAGATGGAAAATGTTCATTTGCCAAAAATCAGTCTTTTAGAGCAAAATGGCGGGGATGTATAAGCAGTTTTATGCTCTGATGACTCCATAAAAATCCTTCTAAGGAACGTTTACCCATCCAGGCTTATTTTCGAAGAATCAAAATGGAGTTAGCGGAGCATGACAATGCTTATATCTCCCCTCCAATTTGCACTAACAGGCTGATTTTTGGCAGGTAAACATTTTTTAATCTTCTGGATATGCCAACCTATTCCATATTTTCACAAATTTAGTTTTGGTGATGTTATCACTTGTCTTCTCTGTAAAGCTATACAGTTAGGATATGATAAGTATTATAATGACAACAGTCATAATCACGAAACAATGTTTCGTATGTCCGGTCCCAGAACTGGCAAATGATCATGATAAGTACTGACTCTTGGCTGTTCATTTCCGCCCCTTTTTTTCCTCTTAGAGAACTTGGTCCGTGCTGCTATCAGAAGTGGTTGGCTTGATGCCCGTCGAGTGATAGCCTTTTTCCGGCTGGCGCGCCTGGAAATTTACTGTATCAAGCACCCTGTAAAAAACACCAAGCAATAATGTGAAACAGAGCATATGTGAGTGTTAAAAGAAAATTTTTATGTCTCAGAGACGGTAAACATTCATTTTAATGGTGGGATTCAAATATTAAAAAGTAAAAGTGTAAGCGTATTACGATTTACTGAATTAAGGCAGAACGATCATCTCAATATTTAGATCCAAACTTTAACTACAAACACTTGAAAGGCCTGGTGAGGTTCATAGCCCTCCGAGTGGGGCGGTTCCTTAGAGTACTGATCCCTGTACCTCGAAAGTGTTCCAAACGATTGGGAATAACGCCTCTAGTGTAGGCACCGGAAAAAACTGTGTTGTGGAGTTTGTCCATAGATGTGTCTATAATGCTGTATCGTGGTTCTGTCGATGGAGACAATATACGAACAGAAACATCTTCCGAGAGCTGTTGAACAATTGTTTCGAAGTTCTTGGTGCCCAGTTACAGTTTTCTGTGCATGTTTTACTTGATGAATTTAATGAATTTAAGCTCGGTGCATGAAAGTGTCGACAAAAGGCGGACGATTTTTTTTAAAATTAAATCTTACATACTTTTCATTTGGTTAAGCGACGAGTGATCAAGGGCGTACAAATGGGCCATTAAATCTACAGAACAATGCAATGCAATGAACATTTCTCTTAACTAGCTAAAGACCAATTGAACAAACATTGATAGAAATTAGGATTGTTGTTGTCATTATTCCGTGGCTTGTAAACTCAAATAACATTAACCTTTCACTGCCGAAGTATTTGATGGAGTTTTGTAAGGTGACCCTAACTTCTGAAGTCTGTTTACGAAATCGCATGATGTGACCATTCAAATGAAAGCACTCTGCCTATAATTACACACGGTGCTATTTAATTTTTAAAATTTCACAAAATGAAATTTGGAAATTTGGTCGAAATTTGCTTTTGGCTAAATTTGGTAGTTTAAATAGTACAGGAGTAAATAAAAGAGCTTATCGTGAAAATACTTTGATCGTGGACACCCGGGCGTGGACATACGGTAGCGGGTTGAATAACCTCTTAACACGGACGTTGCTAAAAAAAAGCCCTAATAGATTTTTAAGAGTTAAATTCTCTCACATGTACATCAAATGTTAGAAATATAGCCTGCAGTCCCAAATGAAAAAAATCAATTTAGAAGAGGAAAACAGTCATTGAAACGGCTTGATTCACTTAAAAGGCTTTTACATTCTGGAAAAAAAACCTTTCAAACATAAACAAACAAACAAACAAATAGAAATCACGTCAGGATAAAGAGCATTAGGAAGCTTTATTGTCTGCCAAGTTTCGTCGTTCGCGTACTAACAAGGTCTTAACTGAGGAAACAATAACAATACCTTGTCGCCTTGTCTGTGACAAAAGATTCAATAAACACTTTTAAGCCGCTATCAACCACATTTTTTAGGGATTTGTGCTGTCTATAAAGACAACACTGAAACTATTCGCATATAAGGGTTCACAGATAATTCTAGAACAATTCGAAATACCTCTAATCTTGTTAAGATACTTTCGTTACTTAATTTTTCAACACATGTCAAAAAAGGAGACATCTAGCTGTATATTCCTGTCAAATGGCAACTAAAATATGGACCCTTTCCAGACGAAACGTGATGTTTTGAAAAAAACAAACAAATAAATAAATCCTCGTGGTCTACTTTTGGGTGACAATAATTAGACTGAAAAGATCGTAATCTTTCAGATCGAATACAATATACGGAAATTGTTTTTCGAGAAAACAGGAAAACCAAAAGCGAGAAACATTACGGCTCTTCTTTGAAGTTAAAAAAAAAAAATTTAAAAAAGAAACGTTAATACATTAATAACACTAGCAAAGTAAATATTCAAGTAAATACGTTTGTGTAAGTATAATATATCGGCAAACGCGAGACGAGGCGTTTTCATTCCATATCGTGATTACGAGACGTGGGTCGAAAATACCAAGGGGTTGGAGGGGGGAGGGGTGCAGCTTCCTTCCGAAACCCGTATGCTATTTCAGACCAAAAGATGTGTTATACCCTCCCCTCCCCTAGCCTATTTCAGACCTGGATCGGTCGCTGTCCTCAAGGGACAGATGGTAAAGAATTCCCAGTCATAGGTTTTGGTTCCAGAGAGCACAAAAGAAAAGAGATTTCAAAATAAATTACGACTGGGAAGGGGAAATATCTGTACACTGTAGGGACGATTTCTTGTCCCCTCCGGAGAAGAAGCAGCCGGGTCTTATTTATACCAACATCGAGGTGTTTCGATATCCGAAATAAAAACACTGTTTAGAGTGTTGATACAAGTTCTTAAATTTATATAAATAATTCTGCAAGAAATTTGAAGTGCTATTTCCTTTCTGTTCCTTAGGTTCCCAGGTTCCTTTTTGTTTGCAGACTGTAATTCCATTTTTTCCACCTCTTCATGGATTATAAGTGACTAAACTATGAGGGCGACACCAGTAAGAACACCAAAAACCGTGGACGTTAATCACACCTTTAAATACATTTCTTTGCCGTCACTGGACGGCCATGGCGCGAGACTGCCTCAAAAGACGTTTTGTGGAGAACGTAAACACACGACTAGGAACTGACATGTCTTTCTCATTCTAAACTTGGAGTTTCTGCTCAAGGACTCAACTCCAAGAAATTTCCTCGCTTCATTTGACAAACTGAGCAACCTGGAATAATCGACATGAAGTTTATTGGCGGAGCGTGAATGCACTTTATAAGTGGCATCCTGCCTATTGCCGTCGTCTCCGCCGTGTTTGTTTAGAGTCTCTGGATTTCAAGACGGCGACAGCAGCGGAAGGGTCATACATAAAGTCAACTCGTGTTATTTCAGGTTTCATCGCGATCATTCCAAATAACGGCGAATTAAACTGGAGTTGAATTCTTGGAGATCGTGTCTGCCTTGTCTCATAATCGTAGTCAGTCAAGGAATCGTGGAAAAGTCTTCACACAAAATTGAAAGCCATGAGAAAGAAGTTTGCAACTGAATAACAGAGCTGAATAATGGACGCTGACTCTGGGTGCTATACTGTGCCAATATTGGTCGTCGTTGACAGGTTATTTGACTTGATCTCTGATATCAAACTGGTAAATGGTGCTGATGGGATTCTCGACTCCCTTAGCCCAATATTCTCTCCGCAGAGACTCGAAGGGACTTTTCGTTCCAAATTGCCTGCATGCAGGCGTATTTTTCAGGCGAGTGCTCAGTATTTCCTTGGTAGCAGCAGAGCAGAGAGCAGAGGGTTGGCAAAAGGCGATATGTTCCCCCATCCCCCTGCCCTGTATGGCATGAATCGTGCCACAACCTGAGCAAATCTTACCTAATGCACCCGTGGAATCCCCCTCCTTAAAAAAACATACGCCTCCATTGCGCCCCAGGGTACCTCACGGAAGAGGAAAAATCGATCAAAAGCCACGTTCAGATGCAATTTGCAACCTAATTACATACTGTTCGCCATATCTCGTAATAACTGCAAAGCGTAAACTTTCCCATAATTGATACCCTTTGCTAGATGTAATCCCTCTGATCCCAATATCATATATGTATGTCGGACCGATTTTTTGGAAACAAACCTAACAAAACTTGCCGTCATTTGAGTGGACAGGTGTCAAAAGGCAGGTTGCGTAAGCCTGATAACCTCCAAAATAACTTTAACGAAGAAAAAAGGAGAAAAAGACAGAGCGAGGAGAAGGAAAGGAGGAGAAGAGAAATTAAAAAATGCAATGATTGCATTCTTAGTTTTTATAATGGCTACTATGGAGATCACGGTATTTGGCCGAAAAAAACTTTTGGACGGAAAGGTCCACTTGGGGATAACGTTTTCAAAAATCCGGCTAGATATATGTAAGTATGTAAATCTTTATTTATACACGGAAAATCATCAGTTAAGCTTAAAGTAAAACCAAAACTAATTACAACTGCTTTACATGGTTGCGGAGTGGGATACCGATATATCAGCTACCTTCTTGATATTTCGCTTAAAATGATCAACCGATGCAGCATTTTTTAAGGTGTTGGGCAAGTTATTCCATAAAGGGACCCGCCGTAAGAAAAGCTTCGTTTCAAATAAGTGGTGCTTGGTTTGGGCAGGTTCAGCTTTCCCTCAGAGTTTCTTAAGTTATAAGCAGAGTGAAGCTGAGAGAAAAGACTTTGAAGATATTCCGGAGCAAGGTCATTCATGGTTTTATACATCATTCAGACTTTCTATTTCTTTCGTCGAAGATATAGCCTCTCCCAGTCGAGGATGGAGAGGAGGTGGTTTGAGCTCGTATCAAAGGGTAATTTAGTAATAACTCTGGCTGCACGATTCTGTTACTTTTGGAGGTTATCACTCAAGTAACAACTCAAACAGTCCCAGACGGGGCCGCAGTAATAAAAATGCGGAATTAAAGCGTAATAAATTTGAGTTGCAGTTTCTTTCGATATAAAGGGCCACACACGTATAAGGGCGCTTATAGCAGAAGAGGTTTTCTTGCAAATCTCTTCAACGTGTTTCCCCCAAGAGAGATGAGCATCTATGGTAAGACCCAAGGATTTGGTATGATCAACTCTCTTGATAACTTGGTCATCAATTCTGATTTCTACGTCGTCAGATTGGACAGATAGTCTTTGCCTTGATCCAATAAGCATTAGCTCTGTTTTAGGAACATTTAAACTGAGCTTGTTAGCGTTTAACCAACAGCTAAGGTTATCTAATCAGCCTCACTTAAGAATTCTTCCCCCTACTGACTGCAGCACATACCCATAACGTCTTGCAAATTTAAAAAAAGGACGTTCAGTTAAACACGTTAAACGAACTAAATTACTTTAAAAATGGAAATTTTGTGGCTGGAATAACCACGTTACAGCTCTGAGATTGGAAGAAAACGGCAACAATAGCAACAATAACAGAAAATACACTACTGCCAGATTTATGGGCAACAACTGCGCAACAATATCATTGTATTATGGACGCTTTCTTTAGCTTTCCATAAGTCAAGTGCTTTCCGGTTTCGGCAGACCCACCGAGTGTCACTAGGATCTCACGGGAGGATAAAGCAGCATGTTTACGTTGTTTATGATCTGATTTTTACTAAGTATATCATGGTTTAATCACCGAATCATCGGATTGCAAAAAAAGAAGAGAGTGAAATAAGTACAAACTTGATAATGCTGCATTTGGCAATGCTATGTTAGCACTGGAGTATTACACAGCAACGTGATACTCAAACTGTGGCTTCAAACAAGTTAATGAGCGCCTTAGAATTGAATTGATGTCGCAAAGTAAAAAGAAGCTAGATTATTTATCAGCTCTCCACAAAAATATAATGGAAGGGGTGCTTATAAAGAGAATATTCGCCAGAGATTGGTGGTTCACAAATGTATCATTAAGATAGCCTGAAAATCACACTGGTTGCATTTTTTAAAACAAGTGGGTAAAATTTAAGGTGGCGGAACATATAAGCTATTACGTTATTAAAATTTTATTTTTGGGTTCTGGGGAGTGATAAAGATGATGATGATGATGATGATGATAACAAAAGGGAGCTTAAGCAACGTCGACGACGAGAGGGGCCACAAATCAACAGGATTAGATTAGCAAAACAAAACTATGCACGTGTATTACGCTTTTTTACCTTTCCTTACCGTCGTTGCACGACCACAACGTGAAACTGGCTAATTTCACGTTTTCTGGAGGACGTTCAACACAACAGAACTATTGTGAATTCAACTCCAGAAAAATTCACCAACATTTGACATACTGATGCCATGGAGGAAAGGCAATGAATTTTGAAACAGCGCGAATTCACTTTTCAGGAGACGTTTTTGCCATAGTCGTCGTCCTCATTGTTTAAGCTCCCTAAAGATAAAGACAACGACCAGCAAAATCTTTGGGAAGAAGGTAGAGTAGAAGCAGGACAGTATTGAAACGAAACTGAAAGACGAAGATGAGAATAGAGGTGATATGTTTTTTTTTCCGAGTACCAGAGCAAGCCCAGCTATAAAGGCAAACTACGTGAACTACAGAGTAGAACACAGGACCCTCTGGGTCGAATGAGTTATCAATAGGGACCTTACGATCCGACAACGGCGACGTCCATGAAAACGTCGCTCAAAAAGAGACTTGGCATCATTTTAAAATTTTTCGCGATTATCCCAATTCACCCAGTTAATTAAAAGAAGAGGATTTTGGCTGGAGCTGAAGAGAGGGGAACGAGCTCAAGTTCGGACGGAGATGGTACAATTTATCGCCTTGCCGTTCCTTTTCCCAAGTAAACTTAAAATTTTGTCATTCCACGTCGCAGTTGTGCAGTGAAGGCAAAGAAATGTACAAAAAAGCGTGATGCACGTGGAGAGTTGTTGTTTTGCTCATTAAACCTATTATTTTCTGACGTTCCGTTGCCGTCGTCGTCTCGGTTTCGTAAGGTTCCTAGTAAAGGGAAAGAGACACCCGGTAGGTTGTAGGGGTGGGCATGATAACGATAAAGAAATGGTATGAACACCAACCCAACAGAGCACTGTGAATACAGAAGATCAGAGTCTTGTGGGATTTCAATACCCACTAAGTCCACATTACTGCAGCTGTAACAAAATAAGCTGTGGTTGTGAGATAACTGACATAGTACGTGGCGACAGGGTGTTAACAAAGAAAAGAGGGAAAATCGAGACTGAATGCCACTAGATAACCGTCAAATAAAAAAGTGATGGTTATGCCATTTGTAGAAAGAGCTGTTAGGACATTTTCTAAAATAAGAGACAAGTCATGTGAAAAGATAATGGTGAGCACATTTAAAGAACCACGGCGCTTGGTGGGGCGTTTTTAAGATGCCACGACGGCGACGGCAACGAGAACGTCACAAAAGCAAAAGGTTGAATAGGCAAAACAACAACTCTGCACGGGCATCACAAATTTTTGTACATTTCTTTCCCGTCAGTGCGCGACTACGACCTGAAAATGCCTTTTTATGGAGGACGAGAACAAGCGACGACAAAAATTGTTTTCTCAATCTAAACTTAGATATAGCTCTTGAATTCAACAAGGGTTTGCTTGCATTTGACAAAGTAAGGGAGTTGAAATAATCATGATAGAGACTGGGAGAACGCGAACTCACTTTTTAAGCGACGTTTCCCCGGCGTCTTCGTCGTGGTATCTTAAACTGTCTATTACAGCGAAAACGTCACTTGAAAATTGTATGAATTCGCGCTGTTCCAACTACACCACTCTTATACTGTTTCATTCCATTTATCAAATGTTGGGAATTTTTCTGGAATTCATTCTTGAAGACTGCATGTATATGTCTAAGTTCAGAAAAAGAAAAAGAAAATTGCTGTCTTGTGTTTACGCCCTCCATAAAACGTTGTAGTCGTGCAATGACGGTAAAGAAATGTACAAGAAGAAGAAGAAGAAGAAATCCTTAGAATCACCTATTTGTAGGATGTGCAGAGAGAAAGGTGAAATTAACAAGCTGCATTCACGTAGCAAGTTAGCCCAACGTAAATACGAGAGGCGACATTACAATGTGGCGCGGTAGGCCGGAGATCATCTTCGTTGATAAGCAGGCAAAGGAGGCCAAGATCATTGACATCGCTATCTCTGGAGTATAAGACAAAGAACTGGAGAAATAGAGAAATACCAATTTCTTCGAGAAGAAAAAGGAAAGTAGTTTTGGAAGCTGAAGAAAGTGACGGCTGTGCAATTGTAAATGAAGCATTGGGAGCTGTATCTGATATGTTTGAGAAATACACGGGAAAGTTTAACGTTACCATTAGATTTGAAGTGAACCAGAAAACGGCTCTTTTGGGAACAACTGGACTTGTCTTGTTTTGTCTATTCAGGGACTCAAAAGTAAGGACTTCTTTGGAATCTTAATGAAATTACTGTTGCTTACTGCCACGGGTAATTGACCAGGCACTGAAACCTTTCAAGGCCCCTTCCACACGTATCACACGTAATAATAATAATAATAATAATAATAATAATAATAATAATAATAATAATAATAATAATAATAATAATATTAATAATAATAATAATAATAATAACGCAGGATATCTATTATATGGTCCAGCCCCCTGTCTGATTGTAACCGTGTACAGGCAACTAATCAGCATGCACTCTCGGTCCTGCGGTACTTAATGTGAACACAGCATTGGCCTCTATCAGCGTTAAGAGATGTGGACAGAGCAGCTCAGAAGATCATAGTTGAGAACGGAGGCAAGCACCCAGCTAGCCTAACTTCTTTGTTATATCTACCGAGGGAGAAATGGGGCAGAGGCCTGCGATCAGTCTAACACGAGAACAAGGTCACTAAAATCAAATCGCTACTGAAATTGTATCAGAATTCGGACCAGACGGTGGAAGCAGTTAAAGAATTTGAAGAACACGCCATGGCATCAGGCCACCAGTCGCTTGTAAAGGAAGCAGCTACGTACGCTGAAGAACTCAACATCACACTTCAGCTTGATACCCTAAATCCCGTGTGCGTTACAACAGAAGGATAGGTGATGACTGCAGCAAGAGCAGGGAATCTGTTGAAGCAATCTCACGAGAAGAAGTTCTTGGAGATCGCTTAAGACAAAAAGTGGCAAGGAAAGTTATTCCGTATCAGATGGGAAGATGAGAGCCTAAGCATAACCAGCTGCTTTGCACGGTTAAAAGGTTGGGCTTCATGCCCTACTTATACCATCGCGGGCAAGTATGAACTGTATGAGCAGTTGTTACCTACGAAGCTCTACACAAAGGAGAAGACGCAAACCTCCACCGACGGCGAAGTCCTATGCAGGTTATGTGGGAAGATAGCTGAGAGCGTTGCGCATGTATTGGCTGGATGTTCCTCCCTGGCACAAACCAAGTACCTATACAGGCATAATGCAGCTTTGAAGATTCTGTTTTTGAGCTCCTGCGAGAGCATGGTGGGTCAATAGAAGAGGTTCCACCATGGTACTGACCGGTGATGCCAAAACCAGCCTACCAGAACACCACGAGTGCGGCGTTTTGGGATATTCCCATCTATGCAGAGCACGACGAAGTTAGAACAAATCGGATGGACGTGCGATTTGTCAGCCACGAGAGGAAAGAAGTCTGCACAATTGAAATGAGCTGCCCATGGATTGAGAGTAGCGGAGCTAAGAAAGATGAGGAAAAGACACTCAAGTATGGGCCCATGATGTGGGAGCTGAAGCAGAGATACAATGGTTACAGGGTTGAACAGTACAACGTAATAATAGTTGACGTACTGGGTGGTTACTCTAAACACCTGGAGAAGTCGGTGAGGAAGCTACTTGGAGCGAGAGCACGGAGCGTACTTAAGCGGATGCAGAAGTCGGTCATCTCAAAACTTTAAACATTGCCAGAACATTTAAGATAAATACTTAATTAGGGCGCTAAGGACTCCAGTTTTTAGGCTTTTTTTTCCCTAGAAATCTAGAAACGAAAGTTTGCTGATGTTTTTACTTAGATTTTATATTATTCTAAATAGGCTTTTGGTAGAGATAACCACCTTATGATGGCCTCGTTTAGGTATATAAGAGATAAAGAGAGTATAAAAACTGAATAATTTTCTAAATAGGCTTCTAGTAGAGATAATTATATCATCATGTCTTTGCGTAGGTTTTACAGAGTATAAGAATTTAATAATATTCTAAATTGGCTTTTTAAGTGGAGAGATTCATATCATTATGTATATTGGGATCGTATTAGGTTTCGTACCGACCTTTTTTTACCTCTAAGTATGGCTTCTCAAGTGGTGTAGGTTACGTTATGCGCTCTATACTACTCATAATGTGGACAGCATTCCAAAGTTTTATGCTTCGAGATAATAATAATGAGAATGAGCATGCGACCGCCTTCTGGGACGTCCCATTATTCGCTGACACAACTCAAGTAGTAAAACCTAATAGAATCGACGCCACGGTCATTGACAAGACCAGCAAGCAAGTCAGAGTGATTGAAATGAGTTGTCCATGGCTGGAAAATGGAGAGTCTAAAGATTTCGAGAAAACAACGAAGTACAGTCAACTGAGACTAGAGCTGACGAACCGATATCCTGAGTACAAGGTCAATCAGTATAACATCATCATGAATGTCCTTGGAGGCTGTTCGAAAGAGGCTGAGCAAAATATAAAAGAGCTTGTAGGAGACAAGTGTGAATCAATTATGCGCCAAATGCAAAAGACAATCCTCTCTAGTTCATTACACACTGCTATAATGTTCAAGCTGAGCGCTTAGATATCTTTAGGAATTTTGGACACCTATTTTAATAGATACTTAATCTTGTACATTATAGAAATTTTATTGACATACCTTAGACGTTCTCATTAATTAATGGACAGCTATATGAACGATGATTTTTAACTTATGAACATTTGTATTTTATAATTAAGACGTCCATAAAGCTTGGAGGATTTTTTTATTGTTTTATTTTTTTTGTGACACTTTTATCAAATCATTTTTACCCAGTTCTTTTTTTTTGGGGGGGCGGGGGGAAGGGGGTGTGCAAATTATTGTGTGATTGTTACTGCAAATTTTAGTCCATGCTGCGGCTGGTGACAGTTTGCCGCCCAGCCAAAGCTTTTATTTTTTAGTCTGGCTATCCAGACGTTTGTACTGCCATAATATTAATAATAATAATAATAATAATAATAATAATAATAATAATAATAATTATAATAACAATTATAATAATAATAATAATAATAATAATAATAACAATAATACTAATACTAATACTAATACTACTACTAATAATAACATTTTTGGTATGACTGAACGTATTTTATTGATAATAATGCTAACTATTAACATCCTATTTACAATTAATTCACTTAAAAAATAACTGTTCCGTCAAAACACTATTTACAATTTCATTTCGTTTAAAAAACACTTTGATTTCATTAGAAAATGATAATAATAATAACAATAACACAAAAACAAGTAAACAATAACGCGGATTAATTCGAACGACGTTCCATTGAATATTTTAGTTATTTCTGATAGTTTGTCTACTAGACCCTTTTTGAACTTAAAAATGGCGTCACGATGACAACGAAAGGTCGTTCAATTTCATTCGCGTTATTTTTTTACTTGTTTTCCCAAACCTTGTTTTCCCAAACCTTTCCTTAATTTTAATAACAATAACAGTAACAATAAACAAAAAAACAAACAACAACAAAAAAAGAAAAACAAAACAACAAAAAACAAAGCAAACAAAAAAGAAGTAAGTGTAAAAAGGAAAAAAAGGACCACCAACAATGTCTAGTGCACTTAATGGCGCTTCCGATATAAACCACGATACTTTTTCAAACTAATACAGACCTTCTGTTTTAGTAGCATCGCTTAATCGCACGAGTCAATTTCTTCAGTTTTCATCGAGTTAAGTGCTTTGTATTTACTGCAGGTTATACCAACACGAAGGGTTAAAGATCACTATAAACTTCACATGCCGCAGAAAAAACTCAGATGTACTGAAAGACAACTGCGTGTTAATTTTATCAAAAAAATAAATGCTTCTGGACCGGTGCAATTTTACGGAATACAAATCTAAATTGGAGGGTAAAAGGAGTTTAAACAGAAAAAAAAACTAAGTAAAGCGCAAGCAAAGTGGACGACGCGTGCCCATTAAATCGCATTTACATAATACGCTTCGTGTTTCTTTTTTTAGTTCAGAATTTGCAAAAAACGCCGGTTTTAGACGACAAAAACATAAACGCACTAAGACGGCTTTTATTTAATTGTTGGGGCATAATTTTTATTCGTGCCGTGTTAATCACTTTACGCCCTCTAATTCAATAAAACAAAGGCGAAATAAAATTTGTGGGGAACGGTTAATCCAAGCTGATTAGAGTTTTAAGTCGCCTATGAATAAGTTAACAGCCACTTATCAACGCGGGTGAATAAATAAGCTTACAACAACAACAAAAAAAATGGCATGGCACGCGACCAAGACACGCAACTCAGTGGCCAAACACGAAATTTAACTATGAAATACATGGCGCAAGGGAAATAAAACAGTAAAATGAAAATCCAACAAAGTTCCGTTTCTGTTTCAGAAAAAGGGCGTGTGTGGAGGGAAAGTTGAAGCGGGATGGGTGAGGGTAGGGGGCGGGGAGGGGGATAGGAGGGAAGAGGAAGAGAGGGAATGGTGAAATAAGCAACCAAGTACAAAACTACGACGGCGACGGCAGCGGGAAACATGAAAAAAGCAATAGGTTTAGTGAAAAAAAACAAGATTTTTTTCATAAGAGAAAGCGAACGGCTAGGCGATAAATTTTATTGTAGAGTAAAACCCCGGTAACTCGAACTCCGAAGGGAAACGAAAAACAGTTCGAGTTAGCGGGGAATTCGAGTTATCGGGGTAAATTTCAGTGAAATTTTGATCAAGGGAAAGGAAATTTAGTTTTAGTTAGCGGTGAATTCGAGTTATCCGACTTCGAGTTATCGAGATTCTACTGTATCTATCCGAGTTTGAACGTTAAAATGCATTAGTCGACGTCAAAGAGAAAAGCTTCCAAAGTTACGCATATAGCCTGGTTAATTCACTTTCTGTTTCAGCTTTTTGACGACATAAATAGTTATGCATTAAAAGGGGTATTCTGCATTAGAGAAACGATGCTAAAATCGAACAGGGGAAATTCAAGGCCTTTTCAAGGACTTTAGAAAAAAGTGACGGAAATTTTTAAAAAATATATTCAGAATTTTAAGAATCATTCCAGGACTCTTTCTAAGTAGGCAAACCTCATTTCAGTGAAGTACGCTGAGTTAACGTCAGATTTAGTTTTACACTCAAACGTCTCTAAAAAATCTCGCGTCTTATTCCCATAAGTAAAACCAAATCTATTCCTGATCTCTTTGCCAGCGTTTTTCCCCTCAAAACTTTTATGACGGTATCCAAACCATGCTGTTTTAACTAAAACAAAAGGAGTAAATAACAAAAAAAAGCAAAGGAAGAGGAGCTTGAGGTTTTCGATATTTCGTACGGTAAAGCCGTTCTTCCTCAGGGAATTTAACGAGGAAATGGAAAGTCGTTATAACGATTGCAAGGATGCATGTAATTGCTTAAGGCTTTCAACTCTGATTGGTTCAGTAGTCAATCTGGTCAGTTGCAATTGCCCAGGAAAATTGGTTTGGTTTTCAAACCACTTACACGAAGTCCGCTCTTCCTCGCACACTATTTATATGGCCATACATGTTTTAAATAAAAGAGCGACCTGATAAAATCATAGAGTGAATAAACTTGCATTACAACTCACATAGAATACAAGATGTATAAATAACACTCACGTGACTGATCCTCTTCCACTGAACTTGGTATAACTTTCATTCTTTCTTTGCTTAGCTATAAACAGAAACATGCTAAGGGTAACTTGCTCGTCAGTATTTCAAGATTTTGAGGCCACGCATGAAATCGTGCGAGCACCCCTCTGGGACAGGAGGCCGGTACAAGTGTGTCTGCGGTTAATGAACAGAAGTTGTCCTGTACTGTTGAAAACTTCTGTTTATTAAAGTTGTCTAGACTCCTGGATTCGGACAAAGCTCAACAACGCACAAGTTCGCGGGGCGACCTGGGGGTACACTGCTGTTTTCTTAATATGCTGCGTTCTAAAATAGTGATGAACGCAGAATATCGAGAAAACTATTGCGGATAACGCGTGGGCAGGCGTGGGGTTTGAGGAAAAATGAAGCCACCACCCTCTTTTCCCAGACCACGTGCGTCTAATTTTCGGTAACTTTGTTTTCGCGACATCCCTGCGATCTGAGGTCAGGAAAATGATAGATATTTTTGGGAATTGTACTCTGTTACAGTGATACTTAAAAGTATAGGCAGTACTATGCAGTTATGTCCTTTGAGTTAAGAAATAAAACTTTAAGGGTGATCTTGTAATAACTACTGGGTAAAATTTGGGATTTAGGAAATTATCTAAAATAGAAGCTCAAATGGGAGATTAAGTGAGTTTTTTCCTGATGATACGAAGGTACAGTGCAATGATTGATTACCTTAATGTAAAGCTTGATTTCTTCGGCCCGTCTCATGTATTTAGCGACCTGTACAAAAAGAAAAAGGAAAATTGATAATAAAAACGCTAAGGAAACAAAAATGATAATATTGCCAAGCCATTACACTAACGATTGTTTGCCGTGAACTGAAATTAACCCTTAAGTTCTAAGAATGATCAGTAATTTCTCCTTCAACTAACGATGCACTAAAGACAAATCCCTTTATTTAAATGGCTTCTCCCCATTAATGCTTTGAAAACAAAAGGACAAAAAAAGGCATCCTTCTTCCTTTACGCGCTTCCCCCAAAGGTGAACCCCCGATAGCAGGTTACAGGAAAAGAGAATTTGTATTTAGATGTTAGGTTTAAATGGTTAAACGCTCTATAGACAAGTAAATCTGCATAGATGCTGGCCATGTAAGTTAAAACCCCCCTCCTTACAAAAAGAAAGACGTTCAGGATAATGATCCGAAGTTCACAATTCATAATCAAACTCGGGCCTATTCGAGTGCTAATACCACCCCCCTCCCCCGCCCCCGTTTAATTGTACCACTTCACTACTAAACCAACCCGCCAAAACTGAAAAGAAAGCAATAGTTAAAGAATATTATGGTCCACTGAGTTAACTACTGGCACATCTATGTTAGGTAAACCTTCTTTTTTTCTTTTAACGTAAATTTGACTTCGTTCTTTCTTATTCATACTTTTTGCCTTAATGCAGTTTAATCCAGAGATTATATTACATCTACTGTACCATGACTAAAGGCTTGGTTACAAATGAAGGCATCTGCTCAGGTGAATTGCTTTTGACCTTCTCCTGAATAATAATTGCATTCATCTGATTATAGTATTAAACTTCCCAAAAATTTATTATGAAGCGGTAAACTTGCCTCTAAATGCAGAGCTTCTTTGTATGGGCCACGAGGTGTTCCTAAAAACAAGAGAGGAACAAAATTGAAAAAATAAAACTGTAACTCTAGCTAGTTGAAAGAGACTCTGATCTGGAAAAGAAGGTTTTCTGGGAATTTATCTGCCAACTCCTGTCAGTAGCATTTCTATAATTACTTACATTCTGCTTACATTGGTGCAAAAGTACTTGATGGTAAAATAAATGAATATAAAAAAAAACAAATTAAGCAAACAAGTGATAGCCTTTACAGACTAAAGTATTTAGCAATCAGAAAATTAGCGAGAACAAAATTGTTGTGGTAAAGTTTCAAAAGATCCGGGCTTAGCCGTTCATCGGGGGAACACTGTTGGTTTGCAGTTCAGAATACACGTATATGGGAAGAATTGGTCAAAAGAAAAAGAAAAAGAGGGCCGACCTTGACCAGGGGTCTGGAGGCTATACTAGACACCACCCATATAATGTGTCTAATGGACACATATATTTACCCGGAAAATTCGATATCAGACACTTTTATATTCTTGAAGCTTGTATTTTGGATAAACTGTCCAAAGATATTTAAATTTGGTACTAATTGCACTAGCGATAGACAGGAGGCTATTCAAATAGAAAGGGGTTCGGGGGGAGAAGGGGGTAGGGAAGGAGAGCATCAGTGTTTACGTGGCATAGTGGGTCCCGTCTGTGTACAGGACTTTTGACCACTTCCCAATTATATCAATCAAGGTGGTTTCACCTGACAAGATCGGTAAAAGTGCTTCAAGTGCGATCTGGTACTGCGAAAGGGCACTCTCATACGCTCCATGTTCATCCTTATAAAAAATAAGATACAAAAACAACTATGAACAAAGGGCAGAAATAGCATACACTGATTTCCATCACAGAGAGGCGCGGCGAGGTGAGTTGCTGTGTGTTGGTCGTGCTTCAGTTCAGGAATCAGTTTGCCTGCTAAACTGCTCACAAAGATCCTAAGTTAGGATTTTGACTACCTGCCTCTACATCAAAGAAGATCTTGTCTCTGCCTAAGTGTTATATTCTTCGAGTGGAAAATTTGCGTCACGTTGAGTCACTCCACTCAGTCCCCAAATGTTCAACTGGCCATGGTTGTTCAAACACGGGATTGTGCTACCCCTCGGATAAATCACTATCTAGGGGATAAGTATTAGGGAAACCAATAACGTGCATATCTAGTGTACAGCGCTTTCCAACTTTTGAACAACTAGCTGGGCCAGTATCCACCGGATAAATCGCCATCCAGTGTCCAAGCATTAGGGAAACCCTCCTATGTTTGAAAAACTGGGGAAAGATGTATAAATGTTTACTGGTAACACAATCCTGTAGAGAATTCTGCAATGGACTGACATTCTATCGAGAAGTACAAATACTCCTATAGCTGACACTATAAATAGCGGGTTGAAGCCACACAAGCAAATTGTAGGCGGCCATTCATTTCCTACAGTTCAAACGGCGCCAAATTTTACGATGAAAGATCTTTTCTAAACACACCAGAAAGAACTTAGAACAGCGGAGAATTGCACAACGACAATTTATGAGTGAGGAAGCTTTTTACTTTCCATAGTGTAAAAGCTGGCTCTTCACTTTTTCAGCAGCCGCATTTGTCATATAAAATTTGGGCAAATTTTCCCACATGCAAAATACTTGGTAAAAGTCCGATTTGCTTGGAAAGTCCACTTGAGGGCAATCAAGGTTAATGTCACGGCATAACTTTCATTGCATGTTTCTGCTTGCTTGCAAAGTCTTTTCCTGTACCACTAGCGCACAACTAAAGTTTTTGTTTCCGCCACTACTAGATTCTCTTTTAGAGGGGTGGGAAAGTATACCACTGCTATCTAGGAAAAAAGAAAACTCATCGAAAGAAAAATAAAGAAGAAATTATTGTTCAGCTGTTAAATGCTACAACCCCCATTCTTTCAATACTCTGAACGAAACGTAAAGAGTATTGAAAGAATGAACAGATCTAAGTGAGAGGTTACTTTTGAACCGTCTACAACATTTGCTGTGAGTTGTTTCAGTCCCTACAATCTCTCTTCTTCCTCAAATAAAACGCCATCAAGAACATGTACGTTGTAACAATAATAACAATTAATTACCCTCATTTCAGCGATGTTTGCAAGCTGAAGTGCTTTCCTTAGTTCAGGATTTTCCTTGCTGTAGCGATTCAGCAGTTCATCTGGGTTACTGTGTGATTTCGTTTTAAAACACTGCTTCAACTCCTCCGCGCGGCTCATGTATTGGTTCACCTGAAAATTAACTCAGGAGGAAATCACTTAGCTGAGTGTCTAGCAAATTTAGGTTTCGAAAATCTTTTCCTAAATTTATTAATAATTTAAAGCAATATAACAGAACCTCTATACCCAGACTGGAATTAAAGATGATCTGGTACTATTTACTAAATAATTTTTGGAAACACTTTAAATTATGTCACGAGTATCAGAAGTTCAATTATATGGATGTTGAATTGCGGCCAAGAGAAGAAAATTTACAGCCCGAGGGCGAAGGGTACTCCCTCATATGGACTATGCGGGGATGTGCCGCTGGACAGGGCATGGTTTGAGTCTGTCAACAGGGTATTGCCTACACGATTGACTTGATTTGCTAGATGAATTTTGCTTGTACTCCAAGTATACAAAAGCAATGACACATGAATTTGTTCTATTGTAATTGCCAATAAATGGCTTTAAAACAAGACAGCGTGCATTTTGTCCTTTGTCCTAAACAGAGTTGTAAAACTGAGGATGTTGTCCTAAACAGGGTATGTTTTTAGGAATTTTATGTCCTAAACAGGCTCAGGGTTTCAAACCCTGAACGGCCAAATATTGGTCGAGCAAAACCCCCTCCCCCACGATTCAAAGAGCAAAGAAACTGTACTGTTCATCTTACCCTCTCCCGTAATCTTGCTTTCATCTCTGGATCTTTCTCATCTGTAGTATAAAGAATATTTGCACTGTCAAGCCAAATACACAAATGGCTTCCTTTTTGCATTACTTATACTCAATGTACTGTTACTGTTTTCCCTCTAGAGTACTCTTTACTTGTTATATTCGGTTGTTTGCCAAAGGAAATTAGAATAAGCACCCCGTTCCGAATAAGCGCCCCGTTTCTTCATTGCTCCGTCCCTTAAGAATAAGAAGCGTCCGAAGCAGCATCACAAATATAAAACTCACGAGTTGACAATTTGCTCATTGTATTTTACAATTATCGTCTTTTTGTGGTCGTTACCGCTATTCTTATAACGCTGCCAAAGCTCATCGTTACGCCATTAGAGAGATTAAGATTCACGTTTAGCCAAACGGCAAACGTCATAGTACCGTTTACTGTTTAACACTTCTACTCAAAAATAAGTAGTTTCACGCCCGTTTTATCCATAAGAATTGTTGTGGACAGTTTTTATCTGCTTATTTTCTTTTCTGAGGAATTCTCAACTTGAATCTGACGTTTTCCGTTTTCCGTAAAAGTGACTCTTAATCTCTATAATAGCTTTATACTGTAAACGCTAGGTGTTTTTTTATCGCCAGTATAGATTGCCGCAGACTATTCTTGGTCAGAGGCACTTTATAAACTGCATAGCGAAGTTTTTTGTTTTTGCCAAATCTGTCCACATTCTTGGGATGTCCGAGTTCTGCGTACTAACATGCATGGTATGTAGCAGCGAAGACCCTGGTGTTGGGTTTAAGGTCCGTCTGATCAAGGTACTAATCACGTGAATGCACATGTAAGTGATGCAACAATCACTGTTCAATTCGAGATCACACTTAATTCAGGTACCCACGTACTGTACTAAATGTACCCAGGAAAATGAAACTAGAGCTTGATCTCAGCTTTAAGCGGGACGAGTCTTTGGTAAGATAAGCCGGAGTGTTAGCAAAGTCTAGAAGTTCACGTAAATTAAGTTGTCATCTGAAAGCTTCAATAAGCATTAAATTCTAGCGGTAAACTAAGCTTTCCCACTATTTTCTATTGCATCCCAACGGCCTTTGGTCATTGAACACGGACTGAGTAACCGATTGAATATAAATAAGACTTTGTAAAGTCATGATTGTATACATTTCAGGTCGAGCGTTGTTTAACAACAATATGTCACGCATTACTGTTTTCACTTTATCTTTTCCTGCGAATAAAGCCATGTCTCCTCCCTCCTCACCATTCCAAGAAAAATCGTCGAATTGATTACGACTCTTCTTTACTGTGTCGTTCAATTCAGTGTCCACGTTCATGACCCGCCGCGATTTCTTTTGTTGACACTCGAACTAAAAGGGCTTTTTCTGATTCACGTACACAATTATGAAAGCGGTTCTCATCAATAACATCTCTAAGGTAAACGCACATGTTCGCCTGCACTTCCTAACCATCGGTTACTGCTAGTATTTATACGCGCGTAATCATAAATTCCGTCAGTGTGAACCAGTCAACTTTATTTCACTATCGGAGCCACGTTTCCAAGTTTGCCTCACGTTGCACCATGATTCACGATTGACGTATAGTCACAAGCTTTTGCATACCTGCTGTACTCTAGGTTTTCCAGGTATCCGGAAAGATCTTTTATTCGAAATAGATTGTGAAGTCACGAGTCTCCTCGTTGTGAGCCTGCCAGACTCGAGTCCAGTAGTAAATTTATTTGCGAATCTGGTATGCTGTATAATCAGCATACCGGATCATGCTGTCATTTTTGGCAACGAAATTACTTTAGCACTGAGCTTTCATGTTTCCAACCATGATGGAGACAAATCTGATCAGTGTAGAGCTCGTTAATCAGTACGTGTGATAATGCGCAGGACGCTGGTCCGGCGCCCAACACAACTTTCCTCAATTTCGTCCCATATAATAGGCTCCATTACCAGCCGCTGTTCGGGAAATGAGCCCACGCTCCTACTCCGAACAGTGGGCCGAGAGAGCGGCGGAAATCAAGCCTACCCATATAAGGGAATCCAAGACAGTGTTGGATTATGGATTCCGCGCCATGGATTCTGGACTCCATGTTCCGGATTCTTTGTCAGCGGAACTTGGCTTCCGGATTCTATCCTTCATCTACCTCCCTTACTAGGACATATGCAACACACTCACAATCGTCCGAAACGCATTCACTCATTATCGTTGCAATCGTCTTAATAGTGTACTTGTAAGTTTCTGATTTATATTCTGAATCCTAGTTAACCTCAAACGAATTGTTTTAACTCGACTTTTCTTCTGTTCTTTATCGTTTGTACATTTATGTAAATTACTTTTGTTTACTTGTGAATTGGATAACATTTGGAGTGCTTTTTTTGTGTTGTTTTTCTATATCTACATGTATATACTAGCCTTTGATCTTTGTGGGCAGTGAGAAAATAAAATTGTGAATTTGGATTAGCCAAAAAAAATGAAATGAAATTTGTCAATTTTACTCATCCTCAAACTCTACGGGTTTGATAGCAGCTTTTCTATTCAACGGTACTTTTTGGTGTGGAGCACTGCTCTTCCTCTTACGGGTCATTCCCGACTTTTAAAGAGTTTATTGTGATTTGTTTTCAACTTCTGTAAGTTGTTCCGGGGAGGCTGCTGGAGAGGCTGCTGTCAGTGTAGTTCGGGTATCCAAAGAAAGTTGAACGTTCCCAGATAATTTGTTAATTTATCCTCCACTGCTAAAAACGCAAAAGATATTTCCTTTTTCCATTACGATGTTGATTGATATTAGTATTATACAGGAAATAAAGGGAGATGTAAAGAATAGGCGAGACATTTCTTGCCATTAATGTGACTGCGTGATGCAGTTAAGCCTTAATGTGTTCCTTGTGATGGACTGCGTGACTGCGTGATGCGGTTCGCAAGTCCAAGCCACAAAAATGACCCTTGCTCGCCAACGAGTCCTCAGTAACTCAGAGGTTAAAACATCCGATCTAGAAAACAGAGGATCGTGGGTTCGAATCCCATCTGGGGCTTACATTTTTTCTGTGTCCTCTTATTGATGATTCTTTACATCTCGCTTCATACCCTTTACGATTTTGATTGTCGAAAATAATCAATCTACAACTGGGAAACGTTTTTCATTTCATTACCAAACCCAACGCGAATTCTTCAAGTATTGGCGACATGAGGAAAAGAGTCATAAGTGCCAAATTTGATTTCTATTCTGATGAAAGCCACTGACCAACGCATTTAAATAGCTTCATAGTAATTATTTACTTCTAAAGCGATCCCTTACCAAGAAATGCAAATTGTAGTTACGTGGTGGTCACGCACCAGGAAATGAAATACATACAGTAACTGCCATTAGAAAAACGGTTGTCCCATAAACAAACAAAGTAATGTCCCCTGGAAAGATGATAGGAGCTCTAGAAGGACACTATCTGTTATCAACTGCAGTTTAAGAAAAATTTGTAATTGCATCGATTTTAAAACAGCTTTTAATATCGTTTCGGGCAAATGCACTTTACAATCGCTGCTTTTTTTAACTTCTGTGTACATTGCCGATCTGACATTCATTTTAATTATGTGCGCACAGAAGCTTTATTCCACTCCAGCAGGATTTACCATCTCCCATACTACTTTGATGTCCGGTGTTGTGCCAACCCTTCTTCCGGCAATATCTTTCGTGTTTTCGTACTTTTGCGCAGAATGGTGCATCACCTGCAGAAAGGAAAAGTGTAAGAAGATATGGTACTATTGCAGTATAGGCATAAAACAAATTTAAAGGCGAGAAAGCTACGATGTGATCTACCTCATGTAGCAAGCGTAGGCAGGTTGGATGTTTTATACCACTAAGCTATTACAAGACTCGTTGGTACACAAGCTTGGCCATTTGCTACCTTCATGTGAAATGCGTTCTGGATGACCCGCTACGAGACTACCAAAGTAGCTCAGTTCAGGATTAGAGCACACGACCAGGGATTAAGATACAACAAAAAGAGCAACAAAAACGTGCATCTCCTTTTGCAACATTGCTTCAAAAAGAGTTGAACAGCCAGCCACGTTGCGCATTAACCACCCACGAATCAAACTGTCTTGCAACAAATCAGGTTGTTGCAGGTTGCGGAAAGAAGGAAAGAAGGGAGTTGCTCTTCTTTTTGCAACAAAATCTGTACATGTTGCGCGTTTTACTGGCCCAACAATTTTGTTTTTCAGCATGACGGCGTGACTCTCCAGTAATTTTATCCAATCCGAAGTCAGTATTCACACAACTTGCAACGACCTGATTTGGTTTGAACGTGTTTAGTAACACAAGAAACGTTGCTTTTGAACTCATTTTGCAGCAATGTCGCACAACAAGTTGCACGGTTTGGTTGCCCATTTTACCGTAGCTATAGATTCACATCATTCAAATCCATGACATTTGATACAATGGTCGTTTATCCTCATCCTGAATTGTACTAGCACGTTATGCTGCAAGTCTTTCCTTTCTACTACTCCCGGTGACATATGACGAATATTCTTTCTCTCTCTTCCTCCCTCACGTCATAACAGAGTCCACTGCCACAGCACCGTCGATGAACAGGAAGTGAGTTTCAAAGAAAGCTTGTTACATATTCCCAGAAGAGAATTTTAACTTGTCAGGAGGTCCGGTCCCTCGTCCCTTTTCAGAGTTGGTTTTGTGACTGCCGGCTATTTACAATCTTCTCCTGGGAATATGAAACAAACTTTCTGTTACGTAGCCCCATTTTACATCGCTCATGAAGTTCGAGCGATTCGAACGAAAATTTGAAATTGTTGCTCTAAGTTTTGAAATTTCTTTGCTAAATGGATTAGCTCTGTCGTAGTTCAACCACTGCAATCACTGACCAACTCAGACATTCACAGTTCAGTTACCATCAATCTTAAATAAGCAACGGCTTGCGATAGACTAGCATTCGATCCAGGGTGAGGCAGCAGTATTCCCAATCGCTTCATGCTACAGAAACCACAGTTAACTCCCACCCCGATGAACTCACGAACACAATTAAACTAAAACATTGGATACAAGTAGTATAGGGTGCACCGAATTATCCTTTTTTGAGGGGTGGGGGATTTCATTGAAATACATTAGCGCCGATGACGTCACAGCCTTTTGTCTTAATCTCATGAACAAAATGCCGGGAAATCTCATAATGATAATGTCATGTGCCATTTTCAGGTGGTGTAACCCGTTGGGAAGGTTCCCTAGTTAGTTCTCTAGTCGCTTTTGGAGTAGTTAATTAAGAAGAAAGAAGTTCATCCACTGTTTGACCTATGTTGTAAAAGGAATAAGCGCTAAGTCATTACTGAGTCGTAACGTAATTATGCCCGCCAAGAAACAGTGAACCGGACCTGGAACAATTTAAACCGCATAAAATAGTACATGACCTTAAAATAGTCAACAGTCAACTTAATGACCTCAAAAGAAACGATTATTCGATGCGTCCTACACTACTAATACAAAGTCGCTCATGAAACTACTCATGCGAATCGAAAGCTTTCGCTTCTTGAAGAACATTTGAAGCACTGTTTTTTTTTCTAAGTTGTCGATTGTCAAATATGTTAAATTAATAAGTGACCTTAAATAATTTGTCCAAGATTTTCCCCTTAGGGCATTCCCCTTCCTCCGTCGGTATTGAACAAATATCTTGACATCCTTGGCCACGCGCATGAGGGAAGAAGGGTTATATTGGCAGTTGTGATGCGTTAGGGGGCGTTAACTCCATTAACAGAGGCAAGAGACTTCGTATTTGTTCCTAAATACTGAATATATACCAGCACTCTTACACTGATGTCATCAATGAATTAATGAAATAATTTATTTATTTACCTGCCCAGAACCCGTGTTTGTAACGTTTAGAGCAATACCATCTCCTTTGCCTATAGGTATTTGGACACTCGGTGGCACTGACTTTTGGCGTATAGGCTATTGCATTATAGCCACTCCTACACACTGTCGATTTGTCCTTGTTATTCGATACACAGCCTGTCCAATAGTCATAAGCAGCAACTTGGGCGATGACGAACACCAGAACAGTCACAGAAAGCACAATGTTCATCTTCATCACAGAAGTCTGGAAGAGATGCAACTATTATTATCACTCTCATTATTACTGTAGAGCATGTATTATTGGATTTCCGAAAATGACTCGGTTGTGCTGACATTGAACTCCCAAAACCTCTATAAGCTAGGCTGGAAAATTCTACTAAAACCACCGCTAATTGCTCGCAAGTATTTTCCCGTGCTTCATGGTAGTGATATGTATTTGCACAAGTTTCAATGGACCTTTTCGCCATTCTTGCGGCCATTTTCAGTAGTAATGCATTCTACAGCGTCTAGGGGGCAAACGAAAGCAGAGATGATGGTTTCTCAGCGGCAGGCAGTCTTCGTCTATTTTAGGCGAGAATACAGAACGGAGAGGTAGTAGTTTAAAAATAGATAATGAAAAAATATGGGCGATGGTGATGATCTGTGTCGTTTTTTGATGCAATAGCGACCGTGGGTATTTTAACGATCCCCACCATTGCATAAAACTCTACCTGTATACCCTGAATGATAGTACTTATTTTTTTGGAAGGAAAGGAAGACTTCACGCTTGACTATTGGAGTGAATGCAAAACGATTCAAAATTGCCATCGAATTACCAAAAAGGCAAAGGTACATTTTATTATTCCTGTTGTTGTTGTTGTTGATATTATTATTATAATTACTATTTCTGCGCCCCTGTAACTAGTCATAGTAATTACATCGGCTTTTGTTCTTTCCTCACTCGCTCAATCAATCAAACGATCAATCAATGGCTATATGATACAAGTAATGTTATAGTTGATTATTGACTGCGCTGTGGACTTCGGTGGGACGCCAACAGTTTCAGGTTTATCCATTCCATTATGATCTGTAGCTCGCTGTCGCTATGATCAAGCTCTTGGTTCTTTCTGTCAACATACCTCCAAAACAGCGTGTCAATAAGAAATCTTACGATCAGCTCGCCGATTTTTCTCTTAAGAAATTGTGATGTAGTCGGTAATTTTAATTTCATGCTCTGCCAAGATAGTTTGCGACCATGGTCATTTTAAAATAAAAGTTTAAGCCATCTCCTATCAACTATTACGATACGTCCTGTTTGTGGGGTCTCCCTTAAATCTTGATTGTAGTTTCTAAACAAATCTAAAGCAGGAAAGCGTTACCCAAATCTTGTTAAGTCATTCGTCGGCTTCCCGTTCTTTTTCTCCCCAAAATCACTTCAATGTATACTAACTAAAGACATCCGGACAAGATTTCTGTAATCAGATTGCATTAGATTTAAATTTAGCTTTATCATATAGCCCGAGCAAAAGAAAATAAAGATTAAACCAGACATCAATAATGGTAACTGAACTGAGTGGAGTGCAATTTCGTCTGAACAAAATTACACGACACGATGTTCAATTACCACTTAATTACAAAAAGGCTTTTGCATCTCGTTTTGTATTTGAAACACAAATGATGTGATAAAGAGCGAAAATAGTGCGATTTAAAAAAGAAATGATGCGATTTAGAACATGAATGACGCCATTTGGAACAGACGTGATTTAGAGCAAAAAATAGTGTGATTCGTAAATATATCATACTGCTCACAGCCAATCAGATTCCAGGGATCACCAGTGTTTTCAAAATGGATATAATAAGACCACAAATTGCCCTCTCAGCCATTTCTTTGCTTGCCGATCATCGATTGTTTATGATTTGAGACGTAAACAACGTGTTCCGCGAAATTCTTCTGCCTTCTACTTCTTTGTTTTTTTGTGCGTGCGTACAATATTGCGCATGGAGATACTAAACCTGACATCGTGTTTTAGTTCGTTATAGACTTCATACATTTCCAATTAAGAAATCAAATTATCTTCAGCCAAATCTTTTAACTATTTTGCCTGGAATTATTCTGACAGATTTCATTAATTCTCAAGATGTGGCATATTTAGCAACTATTGAATGCGGCTCAGTAGGATGTGAAGAATTACGCTGATAGAGGTGGATGATCTATTGCCCATGCAGCCTCCTTTCCAATCAAATATACCATCGAATCGATGGTATATATTGCTCGCATCTTCCAAATATGGTAAGTGCCCGTTGGTTATGAAGAATTAGCCGGGGGATTGGAGCCAATCAGAAACGGCTAAATATTCTTAATGAATAATAATAGGCTTTGTTAATTACATAACTCCATGAGCGAGCCTTGTATAAGAGACGATAGATAGCCCAAGGAGGCGCGTTGTGCCCAGTTGACTATAATCATCTCATATCCAACGCGTGCGACTAGAATAGTCTATCAAAATTCGCGTACTGTCCTGAACGAATGAAAAAAAAATCAAAATTCATCGATACATCGACATTCCGTTTCCGAGGCTTGGAATTTACTATGCCGACAATTTAAAAAATCGCCCTTACTGTCGAAGAAATTGCATTGTGAATTCGAATGTTTGGTAAATTACTAAAGATAGCCTGCCCGGGAAAACGACTCTATTGGACTACAGTGTAGTGCAAAGCTTGCCATGTGTTAGAAGTCGCCACGCTAGTTTTGCTAAACGTAAGAGAACAGAAGCTATAGATAACTGGATTGCAAGGGTGGATTGCTTTGTACTTTTTGGTGCCAGCTGGTGGCGTGACGATGATTTTTACCGGCCGATCATGCTTCGGATTTATTTCGCTAATTTCAACGAGTGACTTCGCGAACGTGAACAAATGTATCAAAAACGCGCTTGAATCATTCCGGTGCTGGTCAAGGTAATTTCATGCTTAAGTCTTTTTACTTTGTTGCTTTCCACGTTTTCCCACCGTTATAGTTTATAAAAGTCAATCAGTTTTACGCCACGAAACGATATTGTTCGGTCGCTGTGCCCTCAGCTGAAAAAAAAAGAAACAAGCTCAAAGGTTTTACCACGCGACAACGAGTTTATTTACCATACATGGTCGGAGCAGAACCATGCTTCGTAAAGTCAATCACAACGACAGAAAACAAATAAGAATAGTCCAGATTTAATAGTCTAAATTAGTAACTGAGCCATTTGGATGCACTTGCTATTAGTTTGCCGTCGTAATAACCCACGCTGGATGTTAGGAGAACACGAGAAAAGCTCGTAAATCACGAAGCAAAGCAAGTAAAAGCGCAAACTTTTTTTGCATTCCGGCTTCGAAAGCAAATGTACGCTGTTTGAAAGACGACGTTGGCGGTTAAGAGTGGAGAATTAATCTCCGAATGTAGGTATATATTGAACGTCTTACTGTAGGTAGTGTGTTTAATTGAAAAATTAAAATTAGTGTTGGCGGACGAACTGACAGCTCTTGTAGTGGAGGCAATACAAGGACACTTAATAAAAATAGCCTGCTCTACCCATAAACGGCCTATATAACCTATGACTTCCCCTAGTCGTAATAAACGCTCAACAGTGTTACTTTAAGGAAATACCTTACCTCACCTTCAAGTGGATCCCCACAAATGAATGATCTACAACTTACAGGCGTTTAGTTTATGGAACTGAATGTGCAACGTAGCACAAGGGTGTGATGTAATGCCCCAGGTGACCGATGATCTGAACTGTGAAGCTGTCATGTTTTGGGTGAATGGTTACCTAATGAAATATTTCGCTTGCAGCAGGTGACATTGCACGGAAGAACGTGGCGTGATGTTTTCTGAAAAACAGGGAAAACAATGAATGTACTCTTCCGATTGAAGACCAGTACTATTCTCTCTTATAGTCAAGTTCTTTGCAAAAAGGGCAACATAATCATTCTCAGTAAGTTCAAACTCAAATAAACTTTCCCACAAACTAAAAATGTGTTGATCCAGTTTACACAATTATATCCAATTATTTTATTACTTTCAAGGTCGCTAGGATAAAGGATGGACTATAACTGTTCGTAACAATATTTTCTGATGTTTTCTAATCTCAAAGATACAAAATACGTGGTACATTAAGTCCATAAAGTTGGCTATTACAAAACACTAATACCTTCCGTGTTAGACTTCGCGGAGCCTTCAAATAAGTGTGTTTGATTTAGCATGCAGTTAAACATAGTTTGAGAACTTCTTGAAACTTTTATAACAAGGAAATCCACCGCGTTCATTATAATACATGACTGCAGTAGTCGTACAAAGAGAATCTAAAAGGTCCGCTTTGACATACAAACGATGAGTGAATAGTACCAAATTACGGACAATTCACTGTAAACGATTATATTAATAATCATATAATTAATTTCCATACATTGAGGTCAGTATTTCCACTGTAAAAGTTATCAGTTTTATTTACATAGGGCCAAATATTTAAACGAAGTCTAACTTATGCTGTGTTTACACTCAAGCGTTTACCAAGGTAAACATTAACTGACTAAACCCTGGTACATTTGTACAGTGTTTATACGGGCTCAAATAACTAAGGTAAGTCTGTCATCAATCACAATCTAATCGAATTGGCGGCAAATTCTAAATCCACGCATAAATGCTCGCGTTTAAAAGAGAAGCTGTGGCTCTTGTAGTCCTCGCGTTTTATTTTCTTGTTCTTGATCAGCAAACCCAGGAATCGAGTTTGCAGCAGCTCTTACTTTTGCAGCACCTAAAGAGGTGGAGGCGAAAGCGATTAATTCTGCTACAAATTGCCCTTCTCAAGACAAGGCGCGTTAGACGTGCGTGGTCGTGGCCGAGAAACCAATTCTGGTTCGAAACTCTATTAAACGGAAATTTTGTTGAAGAATGGTGTGTCTTTTGTGTCTTTGGTTTTTGCCATAACTTCTTCGTAGACCGAAACCAAACGTGGAAACCTGGTCTCGAAAACGTGATCGAATGAGCCTGACGCAATCCCGACACCACAGGATTTGAAATTCTACGCGACCGCAAGCGGATGTATCTGTCATCCAAACCTTGGTTACCGACCTTAACCATGCCTTTTCGCAGGGCAAACCGAACTTTTACCTTAGTTAACTTTCTATTGTCTTCAGCGGTGTTTACCAGGGTATCAGTTGGCGTTTACACACGCAAAATATTTACCTAGGTAAGTTAACTCCAATACCTCGGTAGCACGCTCAAGTCTAAACACGGCATTAAGCCGCGGTTTAACGAATCTTTTAACCTCCAGATCTCTTCCTTGGTGGGTTGTTTTAAGAAGATAAATGCTTTTCTAATCTTCTCTATATGCTTTCATAAAACTGTTCACAATAAACGATATTTAGATAAAATCGTTGGGCAAATTGAAAATGACAAAGAACGCGGTTTTGTTAAACACTGGCTAAACTACGTTTAAATATTTGGCCTATAATGTTTTATCGTATTTAGGCTTCGTTTACAATAGAGGAGATTTTTATGGATTCACAAGTGTATTTTTTTTTTCAGAAGGGTAATCTTTTTTTTTCTTTTTTAGGTAGATATTTTTTTTTAAATAGACTTGATAATAAATTATAGGTTTGTCTTGTATCACTGAAAAGCACCGCAGGGGAGTGTGTACAATAAACTTCTTACTCTTACTCTTTATTACATTTACATGTGGAGTATTCAGATTCGCAGGCGTTTATACTAAAAACTTATTCGGATTTCCAACAGTTTACACATAACTATTGATAAATCCGGGAAGTATTTTCTTTAGATTTCTGATTCAAAATCTCCTGAAACTTGACCAAACCAGGACTTTTTATTTCGGATACACACATCTGCCTGCAAACGACAAAACAAATCCGGTACCAAAATTTTCCGGATTCGTCAGTCAAGTATACCATAATTCTTTACTTTGCCACCATTTTTTCCCAGTATCTAAAGAAAATTAAAGCATTATCGAATGCGATTAAGTGCTTAGTCGGTTAACTTTTCGTTACACTCAAAGACCACTGAGATATTTGATTTAAGTCTACCTGGGATACGCCTGAAAAAACAGCTGTCGTTTTTCGAGCCACTACTCTGGTTTCCCTACGAAAAGATGTCTGAAGGTTGATTTCCACTGACGCGTTTTTGGCTAAGCACGTTAATTTTTAATCTCGTAAATAAAGTAGAGGCAATATAAAAAGTGCTGAGCTTAAACGAGAAGCGAGGTTCAACTTTTACGCTTACAAGCGACCTTTCATGCATTGTCTCTATTTTATTTGCGAACGTTAATTTTACGCACGTAAAAATTACGCGACACTGGAAATCAACCCTGAGTAGTGGCTTCTCGAATAGACGACTGTTTACTCACGCTAACGCTGGATTCATATAATTATCCTTTATTGAAAATAAAAGACCTTCAATTCTTATGCTCCTTTGTTTTATACGAATTACCTCTGGTTTCTACACACGTATCTACACAGAACAAAGAGCTACAATTAAACCAAGAATACAACTAAACCGTACATTTACATTTTTAAACATTACTTTGCTTTTTATTATCGCTCATTTTATGATTTTACGTAAACAAAAAAAGTGTTTTGTTAAATCTAGCAGGCTGCAGAAATTTTGAGAACCAATACGTCCTTGTCTTGATTAAGAAAAGTCACCCTCATTTTGTACAATGTAATGAAAAAAAAATAGACTTTTAAAACTCATATTTTCAACCTTCGCAAGCGACAATCTACCACCCGTAAGAGGTCGCCAATTAAAATGGCCAAGGACCAAAATGGCTGAGGTTTTTTGCTTTACATTTGGCTAACAGCAGTCAGTTGTTTTGTCTGAATTAACAGTATTTACTTTGACATATCACGAA